CAGGCATTATCTAAGATTGTACATTAGAGTAGTGCAGAGATAAAAGGGTACGAGTAAAAAAACAGAAAGTAAAATAAATACAATTAATATAAAGAGTTTAAAAATCTTTAGTAAAGTTAAACTTATATATCATTTAATTTATTCTTTTGAGCGAACTAATGCATATCATTAGTTCACTCAAAAGGATAAATTAAATGAACTGAAAAAAAAACTAAAACCGACTTCAAAAACAAAAATAAATAAAATAATTTTCACATACTAGCTTCTGCAGTATAAGTGTAAAAATAAATGGAAGATAGATTGGGATGTTACGATCTACAGGATATTGTAAGCGTCTATGAGTGCAGTCAAAGTATAAGAGAATAAAATAAATCCAATGTTAATTATTACTTCCTCCTCAACTACTAATAACTTGATTACTAGTATTTGTTGGTGTTTTCAGCCTTCTGTGTCAATTTTTATGAAATAAGGATGACAAACGAGCACAAAGGTTACCTGATGGTAAGATGATGCTATGGAGGAGGGGGGTTAAAATTAAAAATTCAGATGCGTTGTCACCCCTGATGACTAAGATAAAATCCCTTATTTTCTGCCGACTTCCAAAAAGGAGACGGTACTTAATTCGACTGTTTTTTTTAATGTGTGCTACCTCATAACTTTTTACTGGGTGAACTGATTTCGATGATTCTTTTTTTATTTGAAAGCTGATACTTCTCGTGTGGTCCCATATGAATTTGATCAAGGTCAGACCAATAGTTATTGAGTTATTCTTAATAACTTATATTGAAGTCGGATGTACAAATCATTCAGCATCTGCATCTTGAGTCTTTATTGAGGATAGATGTAGATGTCTATGGGTCACAGTAACCACTTACCATCAAGTGGACTGTCTGCTCGTTTGTCACCCTATACTATAAAAATTTTTTTTTAAAATTTTCAGTGAAAAGAATCTCCGGTTCTATACACCCCACATACGAAACATGACAGCAGCATTACGCTGCAATTTTACGCTGATATTCTGTAATTAAATAACCAGTGCGAGTTGTACAACCAGGCCATGTTGTCATATGGATCTGAGACATGGTCCTTCACTGCTGGCCGTATAAGGAAGCTCAAGCTAAGGGAGCTGTGGAGAGGGCTATGCTCGGAGTTCCTTCGAGTGATAGATAAATGCAGGCGGCTCAGGAACGTGATTTGTGGCAATCCTTGTGGAAGGACTTGTGAAAGGCTGTAATGATGATGATGTGATGATTATGTGCGTGGCCCTTCCCAAGACAGGTCTACTCATTCGTGCTACTTGCTACTAACCACTATAATATAGCTGTATTATGGTTCTGCTACGTATGAATGGCTCTAAAATATCTGCTGGACATAGCCTTTTTTTTAAATTCACGCATTTTTCAGAAAGGCGCGCTTGCTTTTCTACCGACTTCAAAAAGGAGACGGCACTTAATTCGACTGTATGTTTTTTTTTATGTGTGTTACCTCATAACTTTTTACTGGTTAAACCGATTTCGATGATTCTTTTTTTTGAATACTGCTGCTTCACATGTAGTCCCATATAAATTTGATCAAGGTCTGACGAATAGTTTTTGAGTTATTCTTAATAATTTATATTGAAATCGGCTGTACAACAATTTTAAAAGTTTTTGGATATTCTTACACCGTCACTTCACGGTTAATAACCATAATAACAATATGATAAAATGTGCATTCTACATAAATGTTGTTTCATGATAAATATAGAAAAATAGTGACCCATATTAGGTTATTCTCATATTTCATATTATATTTTAATAACTTGATGTCATGGTAAATGATCCTAGTTGTTTGAGTAGAAACTAATGATCTTTCCATCGAATAGATACCCTTGTGGAAACCGCATAATATACAATATCATGTGTTAATAAACTTGTACCTGTAATGCAATAGTCCTGGTTTAAAGCTTAAGTTCCGGTAAACTCAGTCACGTGTTTTGTAGACAGTTGCATAAGTATTACAACTACATATATTGAGAACATAGCTACTGTATTATCTATTCTAAGTCGCCTGTTCTAAATGGTGCCAATTTGCAGGTTAGTCGTGAAGCAGATAAATATTATACTAGCTGTTCCCCGCGAATTCGCCCGCGTAGAATTTGTTGCGATTGTATTTCATGAGTATCAATTTTTTGCGCGGAACCCTAATTGTTTTTCTAAAATAAAAGTAGCCCAAGTTACTCTTTATAACATCGGTTCACAGGTTTTTGCGTGATGCGTGTTCAGACAGACGTCGTGTTAGAGTTTTATTATAATATAATATAGATAAATAGATAGAAGATAGATAGTTAGATAATCATAAAACAAAAGTAAAATAACAGCCGTTATGCGTCGCACTATTAGGCTCAGGCCTGCTCTCATTTCTGAGAGGGTTATGGAGTCATTGCTATTCATTCATTCATATCACTTGTTCTCGAAATATTTTATTTGTTAGACATGAATAGAATAGAATAGAATAGAATGATTTTTATTCAATATGGATTATTACATAATACTTATTGAAAGTCATTATTTTATTTACCACTGGTTCGGAAAATACCTCTGTCCTGGGAAGAACCAGCAAGAAACCCAGCGGGACTATTTTTTGTAAACATAATTTCACTTAACAATAAATTTGTTTATACAATTTTAAATGAATTTTCATAGAACCAGCATGGTGGCGATCACCTTATTCCCAGGGGCTATTTTAATTCGTGTATTCCTTGATATTATAATAACCCTTTTTGTACAGTTTTTCTTTAATAAAATTTTTAAACTTGTTTATTGACAAACTTTGAACATGTTCTGGGATTTTGTTGTAAAAGCGTATACATTGCCCCATAAATGAATTACTAATTCTGTGGAGTCTAGTAAGTGGCATTACAAGCTTATGTTTGTTCCTAGTGTTTAAGGTATGAACATCCTTATTCTTATTAAAGCTATTTATGTTTTTATGTACATACATTACATTTTCATAAATATATTGCGATGTCAAAGTTAATATGTTTATTTCTTTAAATTTTTCTCTGAGGGACTCTAAAGGGACGAGGTACGAGTTATTATAAATCGCCCGTACGGCTCTCTTTTGCAAAACTTTTGCAAACATGCAGGTTTGCTAACGATGTTTTCCGTCACCGCCGACCACATGGTAAATCATCATTTAAAATTGCAATTAACTTTTCCTTGATTTTCATTGATCAAACCCGGGAAAATTTACAGCAAACACGCAGCCGCTGCCTCTGAGCTACTATTTAAAATAAATAGCTGTATTGTAGAATAATGTGATAAAATAAAATATTTAAAATAATCAGATTTGATAATTTACATTTTGGCTCGAATGCCTTTATTTGCCATACCCGACTATAGTCTGAGTAGTTTTCAACCCCTTATTATAATGTGCCACATTATGTTTGTTGCATGCATGAGTACAGTATACAGTACGCGAGCAATCCGGGTTTGATCCCCATCGGCACCAAGGAAATTGTTAATTGCAATTTTAAGCGCTGATTTACCACGTGCTCGGCGGTGAAGGAAAACATCGTGAAGTGCATGTCTGAGAAATAAGAAAAAAATATTTCGAAGACTTGTGAAGTTCGCCAACAGGCATTGGGGCAGCGAGGCGGACATTTCCTTACCCTAAAACCCTCTCAGAAATGAGAGGAGGCCTGTGCCCTGCTGAGGGACGCATACGTATAGGCTGTAACTTTACTTCTTTTACTTAGGGTTAGCTAGGCCGTGGTAGGACCACATTCACACATTATAAACGTTAAATAAAAACCTTCTGCTGTATTTCGTACAGTAAATGAAGAGAACTTACGAGTTAATGGTAAGGAGGCATTTTTTTCTTGGACATAGGAGGTGAAAACCTGCATTTCGATTATTATTAGAGGTAAAGTTCTATGGGCCAACGTAAAATAGCAGCGTGATGCTGCTGTGTTTCGCTAGGTTTCGTGCGAATCCTTTTTAACGGTAACGAGGTATTATATCTTACTTTCTATTTAATTCTCAATCGAGTATAGAAAAAGGTGTCTGTCTATGAGCCACAATATCCATTTACCATTAGGTGGATTGTGTGTGTTCACGCGCAGAACGCGTGGTATTTGGGATGCAGTTTTTAAATAAAAATCTTCGTCTTCATAATATATAATATATAAATTTTAATATATTTAATACCAGTGTGCTTGTTTCTTCTTTTCAAACCGATTTTGCGGATTAAGCGCGAATGTGAAAGCGTTGGTGTTCATCTTATTTTTATGAGTGAGTTCATTGAATAAAACTATTATTTACGGATTTTATCGCGTTTAATTAACTTATTTTATATTCCCGACGTTTCGGTTGCTTTCCAGCAACCGTGGTCACGGGGGACCTGTTGCTGGAAAGTAACCGAAACGTCGGGAATATAAAATAAGTTAATTAAACGCGGTAAAATCCGTAAAAAATAGTTTTATTCAATGTGTAGTGTTCGCGTAAATATAAGAAATCATTATGAGTGAGTTCAATTTGGTGAAAAACAACAAACAGAGTAGACCAAATACGTGACCGTAAATGGGTCACCCACAGGATATATAAGGAGAGTATAAAGAGGACTCTTCGTAACGGGAGTTTGCTATTTATCATTAAGATATACATATATAGTAATGTAAAATAATATATTTTAATAAAGGCTGGCTATAGCATGAGTGTTATTATACCTGTTATTTGTTATTGTTTATTTTTTAACTCCGAAAATATACTTTATATTAGAAATGTTGGAAGCCCTTAGTCTGTACTAGCGCGCACAGGGGACACGGTGACTCTAAAATATTTCCGGTGCAGTTGGTTGCAATGATTGATATTGTAATCGTAATCAGACAGGAGACGTCGCCATTGCATAATAAATAATAAATATAATGAGTAAAGCACAAAAATAAAAGTAAAAAGGATGATTCATGCATTTCAACTTTATGTTAGTTATTTATTTAATAGAAATAAATATGTAGTTACTTCTCTTGTAATCCTTCCAGTTCTTCATCTTGTTCGCCGAGGGTTGAGTCTAGGTCTAAATATGCACCGTAGTCGCCGTCCTTGAACACCTGCAGCGCGACGTCATCCAGCTGGAAACAAAAACAATCTTGTTTATTTTTGTTTACATTATAACGATTTAAATAGTAGATAGTACTGCCGAGTAGTGCCGACGTAAGAGAAGCCACTACACCATAATATCTTGTGGCTTGTGGTTGTGGGTGTCTCAATGGGTGACATAGGGAAATAAAAAAAACCACGATTATAGGCTAAAGCAAAAGTATAAGGCCAGCAGCATCTTCCTGATAACAACTTTAAAAAAATAAAAAATGGGGTTGTCTACCCTCCTGCAAAGCGTGCCAACTATTCCCTTCTATGAAGCAATCCATGGGGGAGGCCTAAGTTTTCCAGTATTATATATTAGTCTATGGCCTAAATTTAGTTGACTTTTGCTAGACTGTTATGAATTAATTTAAAAAAAATTGTAGGTAAACGCCATCTTTTTGAATGTTTGGTATCTACCTATCTATATGTTGTAAATAGATATAGGTAGATAATAAACATTCAAATGCCATCTGTGGTCATGTAATAACAAACATGACGATAGATGGCACTGAATTATATAAACCGTGTTAGCATAATTTATAAACGGTTATAAAATATAATTTAATCATCATTCTTATACTTATACTTACATAGATTGCAAACACATATCTAGCAGAATACAATGGATACAATGGAAGCTAACGGCGTAAAAGAAACCGTTTATATTTCTTCCCATTATTATAATTGTTGATTTAATTTTCTTGCTGTTCAACCTTATTAACCTTATTCATCGACAAAAGTTAAATTATATGTTAATAATTCCATAAGTAATAATTATAACTTTTGGTTGAAGATAAGTTTTATAGTTGTAATCGCCTGTTATAACAGAATTTGGTCTACTTGATAAAGAAATAATATCAAATTATATAACTTTAATTTAAAATTAATTATAAAATATAGGTACAAGCAAACGTAATATAAATTATTAAAAATGGTTATGGCGCCATCTGTTGGTAAAGTCAGCTAGAGAAAATTGTAAAGTTAGCCTCATGAAGCAAATACAAATTTGCTTCATGGTTAGCCTAATCTTGTATATTAGCACAATTATACCAGCGTCTAGTATATTAAAGGAAATCATTACCCTAAACATTGTTTACCTACTGCAAAATTATTTTGACAGATGTATCACTACCTTTATTATTTAGAAAACGGTAACCCTCCCCCTCCACACTGGGATTTTCTCTGTATCGTGGAGATCTTTGTATATTGTAGACTGAGCTACCGAGTCGTTTATATTGACCGACTCGACCGACGACCGAAGGTCGATTTCCGAAGCCGAAAGTTTAGCCGAAGGTGGTTTATTTGGCTGACTCCGATTCCGAAGCCGAAGCTTCGGTCGGACACTACTTATTTGATGACTGTCGCGTGGAGTAGGAGTCTGCATCGACCTATGCCTCAGTACCTATGCCGAACGTACATATGTTGCATCGCAGTCGTACCAAGAAATCAAGAAACCGTCTAAGACCCGTTATCCACGATGATAGGCTAAAATAAAAAGTAAAAAATCGGGTTACTAATGAGTAGCTTAAAACTTGCCGCTTGTTTTTCAACGTTTCATGGATTACATGTTTAATAATTGGTTTGTAACGCGTCAGTAACTTATCATTCGCAACGTGACGTCCTAGTCATGTTTTCTTACAATTAGTTGATATTTTCTATATCAACTTCTTCTAAGTAGTAGGTAAAAAATCATTCTTATCTGAAATTCGAAATAGAATTTTGATGCGACAATGTTGGAAAATAATTGAAGTAATAAAGTAAAAAACAGTATAAAACAGAATAAATATAAATAAGTATAACAAATAACAACGCGTTTCTTGAGAAATGCTCTCCTTCAAGAACTAGATGTATAATGGCCACTAAAGGGCGTTACGTAGACGAGATAAGGAAGAGATTGATTTGATTGTCAAACAATAGATGCAAATGCAATTATTGATGTTGGAGAAAGATTTCGAGCAAATGGGTCAGCACTTTGCAAATCATATCGCATTTATCTTCTAATTGCCTTTTTTTAGGAATGGGTCTGAGCAGTTGACCGTTACCATTTCAACCGAGTACAAGAGTATAATACTACATTGTATGATTTATCTTCGTTTCCTATCACTTGTCATCTCAATTAGGTTAAAATTGCAAATAATAAGTTACACTAAGTTCTAAGTAACGTTATATTATATAAAAGCCTTTATATTTTTTCTAGGTTGATTGACGAATAAATACATTTTACTTTATATTTAATCAATAGTTAATTCTTAAACATAAAAATGTCGATTCAAGTAGAGTTTTATTATTGATCGTCTTGGAATGAGAGAGCAGAGGCTTATGGTCTTTTAAACGTTAACATCACATTCAACAAGACATTTATATAGTAAAAAAAGAAAGAATATTTTTATACATATTATAGACCAGTGCTCGACTACGATTCCACCAGCCGGTAAGCGATGATGAAGCCATAGATGGTAAATCGCACTGTTCTAGCGTAACAAAAGCCTTTTCACTCTTACTTTGGAGATACCCAGATTGTAATCGGATGGAAAGACAACAAATATTTAATAAACAAGTTTTACATAACAAAAATCCATTATAGATTTTTACCATTTCTTGCAGTTTAAGTGAAAATATATTCAAATATTAGGTATATAGTTCTGTGAGTGTCGTAAGAGAGTGAGTGTACGTGTATACAAGTACGTGTGACTGACTGTGCGAGGCATGGTGCGCGGCGACAAGGCCGGGCTGCAGGGTATGGTGAGTGTAGAGAACCGGAGACCCGTTTTACTTGAAACGAGGCATTCTACCTTAGTCCTCAGGGTTGACAACGCATTTGTACTTGGATTCTTAATCGAGATAGTGGATAACTATAGTATGGACCGTGTGCTCGTTTGTCACCCTTATTCTATAAAAAAAAACTTTATGAGTTGGATCATTTCTGCACAACACGGTCCATTTAGGGAGCGTCGTAAGAGACCACTATGGGTTGAGTTAAATTTTATGGTTTCCTACAGATGGCGGTATAACAATCTCGCTTATCATCATACGTTTAACACGTGGTATAGTCATGATGCAGTTATATTATGGTTGTAGCACGAATGGATCGGCTCGATCAGTAAAGGACCACGCTTTCAAAGAATACAAAACAAAACAAGAACATTTTCAAAGAAAAGTAGCAGCTAAACGTTGCTGTGTTTCGTATGGTGAGTGTAGAGAACCGGTGACCCATATTACCGGAAACGGGGCATTCCACCTTAGTCCTCAGCGGTGTTAACCCGTCTGCATTTTGATTCTTAATCGAGGATAAATGTAGATGTCTATAGGGCTCAGCATCCACTTAACTTCATGTAGACTGTGTGCTTGATTGTCAACCTTATTATAACGATCCGATCGGCGACGGGTAACAGCGTCTAAGGTGCGAGACGTCTGGCACTGCAAGCGTTGTTCTGCTAACCAACCAACCCTTTAATTTAACCATTATGACCGTCCACACCACGTAAAGAATAAAAAAGCTATATCAGTTTGAAGGAGGTCTTGTGTATGTATCGCCATCGGTGTTCGGGACGCAGTGCACCTGCGTGTACTTGGCATTTTGCCATCGTAGATAGTGGCTGCTATGCACACGGTATTGTGAGAAACTGGAGCAATGTTTGGAAATAGTCTCCAGTGGCTTGACACAATTTTAGTTTTAATTATTTTTGTATTTCTTGTGATCGTTATTTTTTATTTTTACATAATATACATTAAAGCTATGAACAAAACAAAATTCCTATTGCAAATATGAACGTTATTCATTGAGGAATACGTTAGGAAAAGTAAATTTTTAATGATCCATCCCTATTATCCATTACAACATATAAAAGTCCACTGTTGAGCATAGGCCTCCACCATGTTTTTTCTCATATATATGTATATATATATATATATATGTATATATATATATATATACATATATGTATATATATACAGATATAGATTTTGTTATAGTTATGACGCTTGGCAGGCGGATGGTTTTATTATAATTTTAAGTTGTTATCAAGAAAAATCCATAAATTCGTAATAAAAAATATTGAAGGTCATTTATCGGGATAAAAACTATCCTATATCTCAAGTTGGACCAAACTGAACGCAGTGTGCAAAATGTTATTGAAATCAGTTCAGTAGTTTAGGAGTCCACCGCGGACAAACAACGTGATACGTAATTTTTATATATAAAGGTATATATATATATATATATATATATATATATATATATATATATATATATATAAATAATATATAATACATAGATTTGGATACTTTATGATTTTTAGGTCAAGCTTTGGAGAATCCCTTCACATATTTATTGGATTCATAAAATGTAGGCCATTTTATTCCTCTATGTTGAATAAATATGTAGGAAGAATTTAGGTACAAACAGGTACAAACTAAATAAAATTAATAACATTCGTGAATAGCGTAATGTCACATAAACGATATGATGACATCAGCGATGACCTTCAATTCAAGCTCCAGTTACCCATCATTTGAAACCTACAACTATTTATGTAAACATTGACAATCGCTATTAATCGCTAATCGCTGTTTCCGGGATCCTATACGTTGTTTTGTTGGTTGGAAAGTTAAAAGCCGACTTCAAAAAACTGAGGCCTTTGTCCACTTCTGTGCGGGTTTTGCAGCAGTGAAAACTTGACGGATTTGTCCACAATATAGTTTTTAATTTCTCAGACGTGCAGGTTTCTTTCTCCCTTCAAACAATATTAGCACTAAAACTGCAATTAATAATTTCAGTGGTGTCGACGGATATTGAAATTGGATTACTCGCGTGGTAACGCTTAGCTCAGTACAATTTGAACTCATAATGTTATTGAGTGTATATTTAATATTATGTAACAAAAGTTTTTATATAAATAATCAGAAGAACAACTTTTCTAAGTAAAAATCTTAATTAGTATAGTAAGATACATTTATTTGTAATGTTTCGGGATGTTTATCTCAAATA